GGGGGCACGGCCGCGGCCACGGGTGGTCCCGCCCTTTCCGGAGGTCGCTCGCTACGACTTTCGAGGGAAATACGATGGCTTCACACTGGCCAGCGACTTTTGTTTAAGATACCGGCTGGTTTGTCCAAGGAATTTAACTGTGGTCGCCATTACGATTTTTAGAAGTAATTTTTTTCCCCAGGCTGGGCAAGTGTAGAAGTTAATACATTTCTCAGCCGTTTGAAAGTGGCTGAATTATTATTAGCATAATGACTAAACCAAGCTGAATTTAAGATACTTCTCCAAAGGGCTTGACTCTTATGCCATTTTCTTGCTTGGGAACCTGCAGAATCAAGCTGAGAAATCTGGGTCATGTCTGCCCTGAGTGACTGTGCTGAGGCCTCCCGCATGCAGGAGGTTCTTGTTCTGCCAAGCAGATGCAGTGCATTTCTTTGATAGTGGCAGAAAAAATATAATAATCTTCCAGTTTGTTCCTGGAACAGCAACAATTAGGTTTGAAATTAAGCTGTTTTACTGATAAGCAAACACCTGAGTTTTTGTAGTGTGTGGTATTAGGTTTGCATGGCAAATTTGGCAGGTCAGAGGGCAGGCAGCCTTTGTGAGGGCTGCTCAGTGCTGGACACAGTAGGTTCCAGGCAGCTCCAACATAGCCCCCACAGGGCACGGCTGGGCTTCTCGACAGTGCTTCTGGCCCCTCTGTGGTAACCTGTTTAAGAAAGGATAAAAAACGCTGCACAGCAGCTGTGAGAGAAGTAACAACATGGGAGAAACAGCCCTGCAGACACCAAAGTCAGTGCAGGAGGAGGGGGAGGAGGTGCTCCAGGTGCCAGAGCAGAGATTCCTGCGCAGCCCGCGGTGCAGCCCGCGGTGAGGCAGCTGTGCCCCTGCAGCCCTTGGAGGTCCACGGCGGAGCAGAGAGGCACCTGCAGCCGGGGGTACCCCGCGCCAGAGCCGGTGGAGTGCCCTGAAGGAAGCAGTAGCCCATGGATAGCCCACAGAGAAGCAGGTTTTCTAGCATGACCTGTGGCTTGAAGGGAAGCCACGCTGAAGCATTCTGCATTGCTTTCTGTCAGTGTCACTGAACCTTTGTACCTAATATAATAACTTAAAACATTTTAATTAGAATGTCTTACTCACTGCAGGGATAGGAATGGGAAGACTGCCAGAGGTGATACACTGTTTCATTGCTTTTTATAGCAATAAAAAAATGTTACCTACCACTTAGGATCTTTCCTTTCACCATGGCATATATTTGTCTACTTGGCCACAGTCTGCCACAACATCAGTATCTCACCTCCCCCCAACATGTAGAATTTAACCAATCAAAAAGGAGTTTGATTTAAAGAAGCACACTTTTATCAGGGACATAGTTGTTCTTTGCTTATCAACACAAGGAAGAGGAGAGAGTGAAACTGAAGAAGGATAATGAACAATGAATGGAAAAACATACCATTTTATTGACACTTAAGTTGCTCTGAAGTTTATTGTGTATTTGAAGAAATTACAATCTCTGCATTTCCAGTTCTTGGGTTTAGCATCTTTTTCTCTTGAGGGACAGCAGTAACATAAAAATAAACACGACATTAGAAAGACATAATTTAAACCACTAAAACCCAAAATGCACATCAAATGTAACGGTATCCATGCACTAATACTCATATGTGAGAGCATTTATGTAGCAGGCTTTCTATACATTCCTGTCCTGGGTTGCAGTGTATTCTATTACCATGCTCATGAGCTGTCGAAATCAGGTGGGCAGTGTTTCCTTGTTCCCCACCCCCCTCTAGACTATCTTTCTGCTAATGGCCCATCAATGCCATGCAGCATGACTCATTGTCCTATTGTGAGATGCTCCACCCAGAGGGAGAAAACCAGCATCCCATCTTGGATATAACCTGAGATTCTGAATACCAGAGGCCTCTCTTTTCCACTGGATTTCCAGAGGACAGGAGCTACTTAGCCACCACTGGACTTTTCTGAGGAAGAGCAGATCTTTTTTTTCTACAGGATCACTGCTTCGGGGAGACTGCAGCCACCACCCTGATTAACCGTGTGTCAGGTTGTATTCTGAGTCTGTTAATTTAACCCAGTGCTATCTGCATTTATAATTTTTTTTTCCTTATTAAATTGTTATTCTGACTTGGTGTCTCCCACTAGTTTGTTTTCAAACTAGCACAATTCCTTACACAAAGCCAAACGTATTTCTTGTAAGCTGTCTCTGGAGAAAAGTGTCAACACAGGGCTTTTCTTATTTTGTGACTAAATCACATATCTACCTATTTAGCTGTGGAAAAGCTAGTCACTAAATCCATTTACATCTATTCCTGTCCACTTACTCTCCTGAAGTCAGGCTTTAAGCAGCATGCGTCCTCAGGATTCACTTGTACCAGTCAGGTTTTCTAAATTAACTTTCTTTTGTAAGTCGGCAGCTCTGTAGGGTATAGGTAGAGCTTCTTTGTCTTATTTTAGTATTCTGCAGAAGACGTCCTTAAGTAAGGGGAGCAGAAGTAGCCTAGGTTAAGTAGCATTCGTATTGATCAGAAGGATACAATTTTAATTTTGTGCTTCAATAATTTTTTTGGTTTGATGGATCTTTCCACTGCACAAAATGTGGGTGAATGTTCCACAGCAGTCAGCTAGGCTCAAAGCTCTCCAACTGAGAAAAACTGCTTACTGTTGATGAACTGCTAGGCCTAGTGTAGGTGACCATGGGTAAGCACGTGATTTCTACTAGTGTCTCATAAATAGTTAGAAATCAATAACATTTGCAGACTTACCAAGGAAAGGGGGTTCAGTCCTCCTTTTTTGCTCATCCCTTATGTCCCGCAGATCACTAGCGCCAGCAGGTGCAATGTGATTTCAAGGCCAATTGGAGAAGTAGCTGAGAAGGAACAGGGTACATCAAACAGAGGAATATCTGCAGAGCTTCTACCCAATCGCATGAACCATAATCTCTCCCTGGGATTTCCATGGAATTTGAGTGCTTTGTCTACTTACATGACACAATCACAGCCACCTGGACAGCAATTATTCCACTTGAACTGGTGTTCTGTGTGTTTGTCCTGGTTCAGATAGGATAGGGTTAAGTTTCCCCAGCAGGGGGAAGGTACCTCCAGCCGGGTTATTCATACCATGCTGAGATCATGCTGAGATCAGGTTGGGTGTGGCAGCAGGGGAAGCTTTCCTTTGTGACTTTGGTGGAGGGAAGCATGCAAGGCTGGCTGGCTGTGTTCACTGTGGTATTTCTCTGTATATCTTTTGTCTTGTTTACTGTTATTACTGTGTATTGATGTTATTATTGCTATTGTTGTTGTTGTTTTTCAGATTGTTTATTACTCTGTTGTATTAAATTTCTCCTTATTTCAACTCCGGGGTTTGTGCTTAACTTCCAACCCTGACCAGCTGAGGGTGGAGGAGGGACAACGACAACATGGTCTCTGGTCCCAGCAGGGCCTAAACCAGCAGAGCCTTTATTGGCAGCCAACATGGGGCACAAGAGGGTTGAAATAAGGCTCAAAAAGGGACAGACCCTGACCAGAGTCTGTTGGAGCAATCTGTTGGGTGCAATTTTCTCTGTTTGTACTTGTACTGGTTGATAAGAAAATGATTGCAATGCTGGCACACTTCCTTTCATGGTGGGGCTGGATTATTCCTTATATCCAGCGTATGATCCCAGTGCGGATGTTTGTTATCGGTAGAAAATGTGTAAAGGGTCTCTTTTTGCTGTGCTGGCACCTGACTACTTATAATGTGTTTGTATCACTGTGTGTAGGGGCGGGCCAGTACCTGTTTGCTGCCTGGGCTTTTGTTAGGGGTCTCACCCCCTCTATGGGTGAGCCAGGGGAAGAGAGAGACCCTCTCGGTTTTTGAGAGTTCAGTTATCCTTGGAGCTTTCAGGCCAGTGTGTTTGTGGCACAATGCTTTCTGGGTGTCTGCCAGATCTTCTTTTGGGCCATGCGGCACTTCTCTAACAGTAATGGTACCCAGAAACCTGCCCCGAGGTCAGATAATAGTGAGTGGCAAGGGGTGTGAGAAAAGATGGGCAAAGGCCTGGGTCAGTGGTCACCTCCAATGCTTTGGAATTTCACTCCTGAACAAATGCAGAGCCCTGATAAGCTGATGGAGTGCTTAGAAAGGATGTGTTACCAATCTGACAAAATCCAGGAGACACAACTCGCTGTGATGTGTTGGGGACTTGCCCATGCCTACCCTGTCCTCTTTAATACCACTCACTGCCCTCAAGGGGGAGAAAGGGCTTCAGGATCTGAGAGTGAACTTACTGGTACAGCAGCTGGGCCGGGGGCACAGGCAGAGCCAGTCTCAGTCGCCTCCACCAGCACAGCAGCTGAGCCAAAGAGCCAGCCAGTGCCGGTATCAGTCACTCCGATACAGAAAACAAAATATACCAGAAAGTCAGCTCGCAAAGTGGGGGATGGGGATGACCCAGGCCCAGCACGGGAACAGGAGGAAGGGCCAGAGGTGATTGTCCAATCTCTATCCCTGACTGAATTGCGAGATATGTGGAGAGATTTCGGCCGCCTGGGAGGCCAGCAGATTGGCACCTGGCTGCTCCGATGCTGGGACAATGGAGCCAGTGCTTTTGAAATGGAGGGGAGAGAGGCCAAGCAGCTGGGATCTTTGGCCAGGAGGCTGGCATTGATAGGGAAATAGGGAAAGAGACTCAAACCCTCAGTCTTTGGAGGCGACTCCTGTTCAGTGTAAGGGAGAGGCACCCCTACAAGGATGATATCCTATGTCAGCTGGGCAAATGGACCAACATTGAGAAAGGCATCCAGAATCTCAGGGAACTAGCTGTCTTTGAGATGATCTATGGTGCTCTGAATGATGAGCAATCACCCATGGACCCAGATCAGGCCCCTTGCACACACCTGATGTGGCAAAAGTTCCTGAAGACCGCACCAGAAGCACACTTGAAAGCATTGGCAATGGTGTCCTGGTGGACAGACACCCACACTCTAACAGTGGATGGAGTGCTTGGCAAGCTCCGGCAATGTGAGGGAAATCTTCCTTCATCCCAACATTCTTGGGTCTCAGCTGTGGAGGAACTGTCTCAGAGGGTCCAGAAAATGGAAGAGGACAGGTCCTATATTCCACCTGCACGAGCTGATGTCTCAGCCATTAGAAGTAAATGTTTTCCCACCCAAAGAGAAAGGCAGCAGAAGGCACACACCAAGAGGCACCCTATGGTTTTTCCTCCACGACCATGGAGAAAACATGAGGAGGTGGGATGGACAGCCCACTGCTGCCCTAGCTGCACGAGTAGAGCAGCTGAAAGGGAAGACCATCACGAAAGGGGAGTCCTCCAAGAAGAGCGCAGCTCCAGTGTCCAGTCAGAAATCCCCCAGACACAATAGAATGGTCAATGTTATGTCTGACCCTCTTGAGGGGACCAGTAAATCATTCTCACAAGAAGTGAGTGATGGTGAGCAGGATTAGAGGGGCCCTGCCTCCAGCCAGGTGGAGGAAAGGGATAATGGGATTTACTGGACAGCATGGATCCGATGGCCTGGCACATCAGACCCACAAGAATATAAGGCTTTGGTGGACACTGGCACACAGTGCACCCTGATGCCATCGAGCTACAGTGGGGTTGAATCCATCTGCATCTCCAGAGAGACAGGGGGATCCCAACAGCTGACCCTACTGGAAGCTGAAGTGAGCCTGACTGGGAAGGACTGGCATAAGCACCCCATTGTGACTGGCCCAGATGCCCCGTGCATCCTGGGCATAGACTATCTCAGGAGAGGGAACTTCAGAGACCAAAAAGGGTACCGGTGGGCTTTTGGTGTAGCTGCCCTGGAGGAGGTTGAAGAGTTGCCCACCTTACCCGGCCTCTCAGAGGATCCCTCAGTGGTGGGGCGGCTTAAGGTTGAGGAACAGCGAGTGCCGATTGCTACCAGGACAGTGCACCGGCGGCAGTACCGCACCAACCGAGATTCCCTGGTCCCCATCCATCAGCTGATTCGTCAACTAGAAAGACAGAAGGTGATCAGCAAAACTCACTCCCCATGCAACAGCCCTATATGGCCAGTGAGAAAGCCTAATGGTGAATGGAGGCCAACTGTGGACTACCGTGGCCTGAATGAAGTGACGCCAGCAATGAGTGCTGCAGTGCCGGACATGCTAGAGCTCCAGTATGAACTGGAGTCAAAGGCAGTCAAGTGGTACGCCATGACTGACATTGCTAACGCGTTCTTCTCCATTCTGATAGTGCCAGAGTGCAGGCCACAGTTTGTGTTCACTTGGAGAGGCATCCAGTACACCTGGAATCAATTGCCCCAGGGGTGGAACCACAGCTCCACCATTTGCCATGAACTGGTCCATACTGCACTGGAGAAAGGTGGGGCTCCAGAACACCTGCAGTATATTGATGACATCATTGTATGGGGGGATACAGCTGAGAAAGTCTTTGAGAAAGGAAAGGAGATAATTTAAATCCTCCTGAAGGCTGGCTTTGCCATCAAGCAAAAGAAAGTTAAGAGGCCTGCAAGGGCAATTCAATTCCTAGGAATAAAATGGCAAGATGGGCATTGCCACATCCCCATGGAGGTGATAAACAAGATAACAGCCATGGCCCCACCAACCTCTAAAAAGGAGACTCAGTCTTTCCTGGGCGCTGTGGGGTTCTGGAGGACGCACATCCCGAACTACAGCCTGACTGTGAGCCCTCTCTACCACATAACCTGTAAGAAGAATGATTTTTTGAATGGGGCCCTGAGCAACAACAATCCTTTGAACAAATTAAACGGGAGATTGCCCAAGCAGTAGCCCTCGGGCCAGTCCGGGAAGGGCAGGAGGTTAAGAACATGCTCTACACAGCAGCCGGGGAGAATGGCCCTACCTGGAGCCTCTGGCAGAGAGCACCTGGGGAGACCCGAGGCCAACCTCTGGGCTTTTGGAGCCGGGGATACAAAGGCTCTGAAGCTAATTACACACTAACTGAGAAGGAGATACTGGCAGCATACGGAGTTCGGGCTGCCTGAGAAGTGGTCGGCACTGAAACACAGCTCCTCCTGGCACCCCGACTGCCGGTGCTGGGGTGGATGTTCAAAGGAAAGGCCTCCTCCACACATCATGCAACCAATGCCACGTGGAGTAAATGGGTTGCGTTGATAACACAACAGGCTCAAATAGGGAACCCCAGCCACACAGGGATACTAGATGTGATCATGAACTGGCCAGAGAGCAAAGATTCCGGGATGTCACTAGAGCAGGAGGTGACACGTGCTAAGGAGGCCCCACCATATAACGATCTGCCGGATGAGGAGAAGCGATATGCCCTGTTCACTGATGGGTCTTGTCACATTGTGGGAAAACATCGACAGTGGAAGGCTGCTGTATGGAGTCCCACACGAGGGGTCACTGAAGCTGCTGAGGGACAGGGTGAATCGAGCCTGTTTGCAGAGGTGAAAGCCATCCAGCTTGCTTTGGATATTGCTGAGTGGGAAAAGTGACCAAGGCTCTACCTCTACACCGACTCGTGGACAGTGGCGAATACCCTGTGGAAATGGTTGCAGCAATGGAAGCAGAACAACTGGCAACGTAAGGGTAAAACCGTCTGGGCTGCTGAAGTATGGCAGGACATTGCAGCCCATGTGGAAAACCTCGCTGTGAAGGTGCGCCATGTGGACGCCCATGTACCCAAGAGTCAGGCCACTGATGAACATCGACACAACCAGCAGGCAGACCAAGCTGCTAAGATCAGAGTGGCTCAGGTGGACTTGGACTGGCAGCGCAAAGGTGAACTGTTCATAGCCCGGTGGGCCCACAAGACCTCGGGCCACCAAGGTAGAGATGCAACATACAGGTGGGCTCGAGATCGAGGGGTGGACCTCACTATTGACACGATTGCAGAGATCATCCAGAGATGTGAAACGTGTGCTACAATCAAACATAGCAAGCGGGTGAAGCCCCAGCGAAATGGAGAGCGATGGTTGAAATATAGATATGGAGAGGCCTGGCAGATCGACTACATCACACTGCCACAGACCCGCCACAGGAAGCGCCACGTGCTCACAATGGTGGAAGGAACCACTGGAAGGCTGGAAGCTTACCCAGTACCCCATGCCACCGCCCAGAACACCATCTTGGGCCTTGAAACCCAAGTCCTGTGGCGACACGGCACCCAGAGAGAATTGAGTCAGACAACGGGACCCACTTCCGAAACAACCTCATAAATGCCTGGGCAAAAGAGCACGGCATCAAGTGGGTCTACCATATCCCCTACCACGCACCAGCCTCTGGGAAGATCGAGCGCTACAATGGACTGTTAAAAACCACATTGAAAGCACTGGGAGGTGGCACCTTCAAAGACTGGGACATACATCTAGCAAAGGCCACCTGGCTAGTCAACACAAGAGGATCTGTCAGTCGAGCTGGCCCGGCTCAGTCGAAACCTCCACGTTCTGTAGATGGGGATACAGTCCCTGTGGTGCGCATGAGGGATGTGCTGGGAAAAATGGTCTGCTTTAGTCCTGCACCAGGCAAAGGTAAAGGCAAACCCATCCACGGGATTGCTTTTGCCCAAGGACCTGGGTGTACCTGGTGGGTGATGCAGGACAGTGGAGAGGTCCAATGTGTACCACAGGGGGACTTGATTCTGGGTGAGAACATGCTGTGAATTATGCTGTGCCTTTGTTAATTGTTATTTTGTTATTGTTAACTGCTAAATGGCAGCTGGACATGACACAGATGGTATAGAATAAAGGGATGGGTTATGTCCTGGTTCAGCTAGGATAGGGTTAAGTTTCTCCCAAAGAGGAGGAAGGGATCTCCAGCCGGGTTATTCATACCATGCTGACGTCAGGTCCGATGCGGCAGCATGGGAAGCTTTGTGGATTTGGTTGTGGGAAGCACGCGTGGCCGGCTGACTGTGCCCATTGTGGTATTTCTCTGTATATCTTTTGTCCTGTTTACTGTTATTACTGTTTGTTGTTATCATTGCTATTGTTGTTGTTCAGATTGTTTATTACACTGTTGTATTAAATTTCTCCTTATTTCAACTCTGGGGTTTGTGCCCTACTCAGTCTGCGGGTGGGGGAGGGACAACGGCAACATGGTCTTCCGACACAGCAGGGCCTAAACCACTACAGTGTTCCTGTGGTCCCCACAGAAATCCATTAGTAACCTCTGTGCTTTCCCCAGTTCTATAATCAAAGGTGCCAATACCCTGATGGCAGTTCATGTCTTGCAGAATATTAGCAACCAGGTTTCTGGGATCCCTGCTCATATCATTTCTTCAAGCTGAGCCTGGAGGTCATAGTCTTCTCTGTGCCAAAGAGGGATCCTAGGACAGTTTACTGCTAACCTCTATGTGAACACTGCTCAGACTTATACAGCAGTGACTCAACATCTTACAGGTCTGCCAGGACAGCAGGTCATCTTTAGCATACAGTGCTATCGCTGCAGGAGAATCACAGACACATATTAAGAGTTCTTCTCAGTCACATATTAAGAGTTCAGGGAAGTAAATTTGGTCATAGAAAAAAAATGTAAAATATGTTTCTGTTTTTATTCTCCTTGAAAAATTCTAATTTCTGAGGTCTAATGAAGTCACATAACTTTAGGCATACTGCCATGATTCCATGTATATTCATGTTCATAAATAGGAAAATTCTTATCCTTATTTCTTCCATGTTGCAGACAGTGCATTCAAAATGGATTTGACTGAATAAAGCATGAAGAGTGGTGAATGAAACAGGATGGACTATGAACTTCATTTATTATGTCCCCCAAACCAGAATTGTATCAATTTTACAGGGATGTCAACAATTATGAACTATTTCATGAACTGTTTTTGAATGCACTCATAACTGCAGTAAAAGTTATTTCTAAATTTTTCAGAGCCACATGGATTTGAATCTCCTTCAGAATCAGCTGAATCATGGTGGAACAATGTTTGCTCTATTTACACAACCTTTTCCTCAGGACAAGGTGAAATACGTGTAAGTCCTAAACTACTTCCATTATACATGCAGCAATGTAGTAACTGCTGAAAAGTGTAGCAGTCTTACTCAGCAAGTCCATAGTACTGAGCCTAAACTGCTTAAACTCTTTGAAACTCAGAGAAAAAAACACTCTTGAATTTTTCATCTGATCATGATACACAATAAAACTCCAAGATCTTCTTACCAATAAAACAACTTAGCTTAATATTAAGTCAGCTCTTGCAGTTTTAGAAACAAACGAGATTAATTATATTCTTCCTGCCATCATCAAAGAAATGCATTCAGCCCTTTGGCAAAACAGAAACTTTATAACTCCAGTAGGTTGAACACTTTCACTGAGAAGTCTCTGATCTTCAAGTTTTATTCAGGAGATCCCTAGCAGTGTAAACTGTGGCTTTTCCCCTGCTAGTTGTGAAATGCTTTCTTTTGCTATGTCTGCTGGCAGGAATTATCAGTTGCTCATATCAATGCCATCAAATACAGATTTTTTTGGTGCCTAAACAACTACAAAATTCTAGCCCTACATGGGAATGGTTAATAGAAGTAGAAGATAAAGTGGAAGGTTCCTGACTTAATTGAAGAGGTGCCATATAACAAAAGCAGTGAAATTAATAACTTCATCTGCGATACCAAGGATGCTAATTAAGCCCAATTATATTACTTCTACGCTTTGACCCTCTTACTGTAAGCACATACAAATATGAGGGTAACTGTGCTGAGGATTTTAGGAGGAGAGTCTTCCCAACTGGAAGGGTAGGAACAGTATTTAATTGTTTGCACTGGCAGATCTCCTATACTTGTATTGGAAAGCAAGTACCTCATGCTTTCTGCTTCACCTACAGCCATGTCCTTTAAGATCAGTAATGAATCTCATAGAAATTTGACAACGTAACCTGGATGTATACTTTTATGTTGCATACAACATGAGAACATGTTTCTGAATCAGATTTATGACTACAGTATTTGAACTAATAATACAAGGATATAATTAATTCTATTTCAAATGTTATTTTTTAATCTGAAATCCTTAAGTTCCTCACTCGTCATTATTCTCTCTGTGTGACTGTATTGCCTTATTAATTACAGGTAACTTGCAATCCTTGTCTTGTAATTTTACTGTCACAAAAAAAGCTGTGGTAGATGCATCAGTTAAAACACTGAGACTCTATTAATTCCAAGAGGGGCACAACTATTTTTGCCTGTGTCATTTTTCATGATAGTTCCTTTATAAAGAACTTTAATTTTAAATGACAAAAATTTAGCTCTCTTTTTATCATCCCATGAAAAAGCAAATCCTCATTAATAAGAATAATTTTGCTGGTTTTAATAATTGCACTTAGTTGCTTTTGGAATTTCCCTGACATTGAGGACACGACTACACTACAATTAACCTGTTTTTTTGCTTTCAATGATTTATCATCCATGTCCTCAGCTACAATGACATGCAGCCTAAGATCTGCATTACCTGAGTTGTATTTAGTAGCTAGCCTCAGCAGGCCTTTTTTGTCAACCCACACTGTATTCTCTTCTTGCAGTATTTTATTACACTGGATGAAATTGAGAGATAATGCAGGAGCAGAAATCAGCACAGTTCATGAACCTGTAGATTTTATCAGATACTCAGGATTGTTGTCTGGAGACAGGCATTTTTCTGTAGAAAACACAGGTTTGTGTTGCAGTCTTGAGGAATGCTGTTTTGAAAGTACTACTCGGAAAGGTGTTGTCACTAATAAATGGAACCAGTGAGGACCATGAAGCTGACTTCTTCATAAAAGGAGAACAGTGTGTTCTTTTTCTATCATAATTGGTCATACTTTCTTGTAAGCATATATTGTAGTTGTTAACGTGTTTCATGTGAACTTAGTGTCTGCAAATGGTTATTTAAAACAGGTTTCATATAGATTTGCTTTGAAGTTTCTACTTTTTGTGTATTTACAGTAATTGTATCTGTGTGGAATAAAGATTCCTTTCCAGTACGCACATGTCCCAGGAATTAAAAAATACCATTTTGACAACTGCTGTGCACATTATCCATATGTTTCAGTATGAGTTTTGCCATTTAGGCTGTTTTCCATATTTCTGATTTTACTCTGGTAGTTTGATAATTGAACAATATTGTTATTGGCATCATTATTCATTCTTATTATTGATTATGGTTTTTGTTTCAGAGTCAAGAATTGAGACAATAAAAAAAATTATTTTTTTTTTTAATAAACACAGGATATTTCTATAGAGGTTAGATATATTGGCCACGTTCTTAAAGCATTCATTGGTCTTGATAGTTTTGGAGGAATAAAGATTGGGAATCTTTTCTAGAGTCAAGACATTTCTTGGCAATTTGGAGTTCTTTACTTGTGAACTACCATATTTGTTAGTTGAAATTCTTTGAATGGGTTTATTGCAGTGTTTTCATTATTTATTTTAATCAACATAAATATCTGAAGGGTTATCTGGGTTGATAGGAACCTCTTTGGAAATGATCTAAGGAAAAAAAGAGAAACAGTTGTGAAAAAACAGGAGAAACAATGGCTATTTAAAAGCTCTGGTTTTTATTTCTGGGTTATTGGAAGATTGCATGAATAAAATAACCAGCACATAATGTATAGTCAGCAAAAAAATATGCAAAATGGAATTGTAGTCTAACATAGGAGTAGGCAAAAGAGGGTTTTCCAATATATTTGGCATATTGACAGATTTTCTAGCTGATTAAAAGAACTGATGAAGTACTATACTTAACATTATATGTACTTTCTTTATACTTCATATAAGTAAATATAATTTACACCATATTTCAGAATTTGCATTTCATATTAAATTTGGTAAATCACTCATAAGCATTGAGAAGCAACATGATATAGAAAGAAAAATAAAATTGTGGATACCATGTTTGTATGTACAAAGTAATAAACATTTGTCTTACCATCTGGAAATACTGATGTGTCACTGTTGGCAGGATAAATTTAAATCTGACACTGAGCATATTTTGTTATCTGTCCTTGTCTTTTTTCTTGACTCATGAAAGTTCTTGTCAGGTGACACAAGACATCACAAATAAAGCCCCGATTTCAATCAAAACCGAAAGACTGGTTCAAGAAATTATTGTTGATGGAAAAATGTAATCTTACTAAAACAGCACCATCTTCCCTTTGAGCAGAATATGAAGTAGAATAGATCACTTATGTTTCTAGTGGGCCAGGGTCTGCTTTATTTTAGACAGGGGTATTAGGATTAAATGCACATCCGTTTCTTCCAATCACAGGGGGTTTTATAAGCTATAAACATGTCGTATGTCATTTGTATTTATAGTGGCATGAAAAGTAGATAAACACACAGTTGAAGATATGTTATATGCTTAGCTAGATTGCAAATATTTGTTTATATCCTGCAGTATGGGACCTCGTGTCATTTTCACAATCAATATAGATTTGTTGAAATTAAAATGTCTTTTATTTCTCTGATTCTTAATGCCTACTATGTCAAAAAAGTTTAAAACTTTTATTCACTTGAGACGTTATATTATTATATTGAAATGACTTGAGTTTCATCTTTAAATATTTTCATTCAAATGTAGCACCTATCTGGAAAAAATATGTCTAGTTCAAGCAATATTCATTACTTTTGTAGTTTATCTGTACTTCTCAGATCAGACATATAACTGGGTTTCACAAGTGATGGAAGGAGATGTTCTCATTTGAGAGAATTTTGTAGAATTTGTTGTAAATTAAGAATCTACAGAAACTGGCTGGTCTGAAAGCAAGCCTAAAGAAAAAGATCTGAAAGAAGACTGAGACAATATGGAGAGGTCCTATAGCCATATAGCTATTAAAAAAAAAGAAAGCCATGCTGATGTACACTTCCAAACCTATGGATTACAATTTCAGACAGA